TGGACTCTCTAAGTTAGGTACAAATGGGATATTTCAAAGATATATCATTCAGGTTACTTATCCACTAACGAGTTGGGAAGTGTGGCAACGCAGTTTATTCCTAAAGTCATAGGATGACTCATGTATACTAAACTAAGGTTGTCAAAAACGGTGTCGACGAAATTGTTTGTTGTTTCAAAAAAGGCAACTAAAATAACTTTTAGTTGTTTAAACTTCAAATGCAGTCAGTTGTTTGACTTTATTTTTTATCTAATTCTGTGACAGGTTACCGTATTGATTGTACCTTAATTCTTATAGATTGATAGCATTGTATTTAAATAATTCTTTTTTTATTCGATGACTTAAACTCCAGAGTCGTTTTTGATACAAAGTCAGACTAAAAGTTATTACTTATTAACACCTGTCCTATTAAAGCTTTAATCCCACTGCTTCAACTTCCAAATAAGTACTTTGTCAATCATTATTCATGAAATACATATTTAGCCAAAGTTTATTTGTTTTCTCAATGAACCATTGTAAACTATTCACACCAAAATTCTTTCAACAAATCTAAATAATTGCTTCATTTCTCACTACACTGTAGTTACTTCGTTGGGGTTTGCCTTTTGTATGTCTTTAAATGCAATTCAGTCAGTTGAGTTCGTCCTATGGGTCGTATTCGTCGATTTCATTGCAATTAGTATTCTCCAGGCAACATTCTTTTGGATTATTACGAATCGTTTCTTCGTTGATTCATCCAAAAGTCGTCCGCAACTCAATGGATTGGGGCCTTTTGTTGAAACCAACCCGGAAGTTGAATGGGGATACGCCTTTGATGTTCATTTAAATGGATTTTTTCCGGCATTGTGCATTTTGCACTTGTTACAGTTACCTTTTCTGTACAGTAGGTTTGCTAACTTCAAAATCCTTTTAATTTTATTTGTTCACAGTATGCAATTTCTGGGCACTATACACATAGCCAATCAGATCACTATGTATATTTATAATTAGTTTTTGAGACTAAAAACCAGAGCCTGATTGCATCACGCCTTATCAACAGTTGATAACTCAACGGTTTATTGCTATTTTTTAGTTGTTCTCAGCCTCCTAACATACTCCTTTGTTAGCCAAAATTCTACATTGTAGTAGACATCAGGTGTGTGTTCAAACAGTCTAACTGCCCCATTTGATAGAGGTTTAGTTTAATCGACCAACTATTTTTATTTTGTACTTCATGCCTTATCGTTCGCACTAATTACTTGATTACACCGTGCTCAGAAAGTGTTTAAAAGACATTTAAAATCAAATAGTAATGACTTGTATGTGCCCTCTCCTACGAAACGGCATTTCGCACAATCACAAATTATTACATAGTTGACTACATCAGAATACTATTTGATGTACTCACTTTTCCGACTTAGCAACTTGTAAATAACTGTACATAACATATTATTTCAAATTTGGCTGTCTAGAAATGCCACAAATGCATCAGAATTCATAATAATCGAAACACTATCCTGTCGATAAGTATACATACGCATATACCATACAATATTAACATGAAGAGCAAGTAGCCATATCTTATCACCATTTCAGTTTCTTCAACAGATTAGAAAACAATAAATTATTGTCACATTTCTTCCAATATTTTTGACTTAAATTGTTTTTTCTTTAAATATCTAGTTATTCTCCAAAACTGGTTCATCGGGAGGTTACTGGGTAATACTTTTTGGTTGACGAGTTTCACTTATTACACCTATATCACATTCCTGGGTTACCGTAGTAAGTTCACATTGCATTTTTACCTGTATTTAGCCAATCATTTCTTGATATTTTTTATTACGATTGTGTGCAACTACCTTAGAAAAATAGAATTACTGTTATATTTCATTTTATCGTAACTGCTAACCGTGAAGTTAGTTATCCGTGGTCGGTTAGGTGAATTAATGAATTCGTTATTTATGGTAGAATGTACAAAAATTTTGTAAGTAAAAATGTTCCGATTTTTCAGTATGTGTACTTAACTTTCAGCTACTCGATATAGACCATTATAGTTTTAGAGAAAAGGGAAACAACAGAACAAAGATATCATTAAGATAAATAGGGGAAAAAATAAAAGTAAACAAGTTGGAGATGAAATATCCAGATCTTAACTGGTTAGATATACTATGGTTAATTCTAAAGTTATTAATAGATAGGCAGTGAATAATAGACATATTTGATAAAGTTCGTTCGTTGTTGAGTCTCATACGGTGAATATCTGAAATGACCTTAAGCAAACTTGCTTCCCATCCAGATGTTTATTGAAGATTGTTTAGGATGGATATCATGTTTGACACCAAATATCGGGTATTGGATGTTACAGTCATATATGACCAATAACAAATAACATCTCTTGTTACATTTCAGCTTTACCGTTTCTCAAGCGTACAACAGTTCTGTTGTGGCCAGTAACAGCTGCTATCGTAATTTACGTGGTATCGCTTATTATGAAATGGAATTTCACACTTTTCTTATGTCATTTCTACCAGTTCCGTTTATTTTAGTGAATGATTGCAAATGTGTTAACTGTGATACAAATTAAAGAGAAGTACTATGTTCTCTGATTGTAAATATTTTTAAAAAGTGACGAGCTATAATTCCACGTGTTCTAATACTTGATACATGATTATGTATAGTTCATAGTTGTTTGCTGTTAATATTTATTCACGCATATCTGGACTGGATACTTTTGCATAATTTATTTTATTTTAACATGACAAAGATACTGAATTAATAAATATTTATTAATGATCATGCAGTATATTTTTCCGTAATGTCTGATGAGAAATATGCAGTTAAATAGTGATTTAAAAGTAATCCACAACAAAGTTAATAATAGCAAAATTCTCTCCAACTCAAAGTCCGAGGGTTGAAGAGTGGCCTGAAAGAAATGTATTAAGTTAACGCAAAGTGATCGCTAGACATAGTGATCAACCGTCAGCATTAATTTAAGAATATTTCCTGATAAAAATAATAAAGCTAAGAAGGTGGAAGAGTTTTTTTTTAAGTCGGAGTGTAATTAGGCAATTTTACAGAACACCAGCGTTGTTGGGAAATCAACGTAAAGTAATTTGACATTAAAAATCGGAATAGTTGTAAGAGTAAATATGCAAAGTACGTTTCCAATTAGACCTTATTATTCGTTGGCTACATCGTTTGCAGTGTGTACATACAGATGGAGACATTTAAACAAGATACTCCGTACTTCTAAATAACATCGAGTGAACTTTCTAAAAGCTTGGGATGACCAGAGGAAACTAGACACCTAGGAATCGAGTTTCTATTTGTTAAGTGATTTATTTTATTGATATACACACCAAAATGACGTCTCCAGTTCTAGCGTTCTCAGCATCTGTGGCAAGGAGGGTCCTAGTTTAAGTTTATCACCGAATCAAGTGCACATATGCTAGTATAAGTATTGAAAGGCCCACTTCGTCAAACGTCGAAGGATTATGTTTTTTCCGAAAAACAACGCATAAATAGGTAGCTTAAAATAAGCCAGACCAAATGCATAACTAAATTTTACATGTACGCTCACTAAGAGGAATGGATGGAAAGATACATTTTGTTTTTGCTGACGCTCCATATTTTTCCATTGTTTGACTATCCATGTATTATTTCTTGGTATCTTGAGCGGTTTTATCTATGACACCATTTAAAAGCACGTACGTTTTACGACTACGGTAACAACACCACTAACTTTCATGTTTTTATAGAAATAGTGACACACTATGTGGATTTACCTACTTACAGCAAATCAATACTGTTTAAGCAGATTACATGAGCTTCGAGATTAAACTCCCGACGAACTATCGAATTCTCCATTTGCATTGACACTTCAAAATAATTAATTAAGTCTCGATAACCTTGTTAATAACGCAACGACTCTGTATTTAAGTATACACTACAATGTATAACATGATTATAAATACGTTTGTACAGCATTAGTAAGTGGCGTCGTCAAGAGGTTTTTTATTGAATCGTTTTAAGTTTGTTTAGTGGTTTCTTTTATTCAGTAGACAAGTATATATCTCCCGAGCCCTCAAATGCCCTGGTACGGCCGAGAGTGGGGAGAGCCCGCTCTTCCTCTCGAAATGCTCTCACGTGGCCACACGTATATGGCCTCTGCCAGGGAAGTTCTACTTACTGCCTCCTCGTGGCGGGGGTGTTGTTTACGAAATTGAGAAAACAAAAAGCGAATGTCCGGCGCTTTAACCGGGTTGGTGGACATGGAGAGTCCACCTAGGGGGGGTTGGAAAACCCTGATTCCAAACCAACGGTGCACATGGGCTCCAGTATCCTGAAGGGACAAATGGCGTATCAACCAATCGTTGGTCACCGGCTACCATGAGAATGCACCTCCTTACGTTGTTCCACTGCCTTGTGAATCAGACCTTCAGGTCGAAGACTCCGGGTGTGGCCCCCTAAGAAAACCACCTGCTTCAGTTTGGGCACCCGGGCAGTATCACAGCCCTCACACATATCAAATGAGATCTGTGATGAGCTCAACTGTTGTCTGTCTATTCATGACGCGTTACAGACAAATTAGGCATTAAGTTGATTGATGACTATACAACTCAGTGATCAAGTACAGATCAGTATACTTGATATCTTTTAGAGCATAATTTATGTGGGAGCTAGTGATATTGCCTGGCTGCTCAGTTTGAGATAGATAGAGGGGAACTTAAATTTGGAAATTAGTAACTGGGAGATTAAGCTAACCATTATTATTCTTTTTATCTCACCTCCTAAACTTTATAAATATTGTCACTAGTTCCTCCAATGTTTGGTCTCGTAGGTACATGTGTTAAATTGATAGTTTTTTTTAATAATTTTTTTAGTACAACACTCAAGATTGTTTCTTTTGTTAATTCTACTAATCATGTGACTGATTCAGCGAAACTTCGCATCATATATATAGATAGTGACATATCTAATTAAAATTGAATAATTAGTCCAAGGCAAAGAAAGAAGAAATATTTAACAAAAGAACAACTTTATGTACAGTCGCCAATTGTTTTGCTAAAATCAATGTGGTGTTCTATTTGACTTGAGATCCGGTAATCTTACGGGTGTCACCAGTTCAGCTACCATGTTCATTTCAGATTTGTTTTGAGTATTTTCAACCTTTGAACATTTACATCCCAAATATTGGAAAAATTGAGTTAACCTAAGAGACAAAAAATAAATCCTCATATAAGTGTCTAACTAAATACTTAGAGATAAACGTGATAACAAGAATGACATCACTCAACGATTCCCAACAAGAATCATAAAATATTCTGAACAATCTGAAACCAAATAGTACTAGTAAATAATGGAGATGACTTCGTCCACAAATATAATGTGTATCTAGAAAAGAAATTGTAAGTCCTGGGGATTACGTTATAAAACGAGGAACCTGACTTGATTTGTCCGTAAAATTCTTGCCTACAACAAGAGTATGGAGTGTGATATTACCCGTGAACCAATCTGAAACCTTCAACATTATTACCAAATCAGTGACTTTTAAGTAATATCATTCGCGAAGTCAAAACACTGGAATGAAATGTAGCAGTCATTCATGATGAGAAAACGAGTCGACCAGGCTATCTATGACCGTGGAAGAAAACTGGAGCAAAAACTATTATTTATTATCACATGAATATCTAATGTAGGGCAGTGGATGCAAAGAAATAAAGTGAAAAAAACAGTCCTCAGAGCAGTAAATTGGATATGCACTATATGGACAGATTCGGATTTACGTCAAAAATTTTCGATCTAAGTTGACAGACATGACATACTAGTGGGATACAGTCAAAAAGGGATCTAAATTATCGCCCCACAGCAAAATAGGAAATGCACTGGTCAAGAATCACTCCTCATCACATTTATTAGATAGTCGGTTTATGAGATATATATCATCTGCTATCACAATTGACAAACTGTATACAAAGTGAAGCACCTAGTGTCGAAGGAAAGTGATCTTTATTTGTAAAAGGTATCTTAGGATCTCAGGTATATAATACACTCAAAGTTAACTAAGCCTTATACTATAAAGATAGTTATGGGTTAAGGTTGCCATCTGAAAATAAGGTTTGACTTGATAGCACCAAATGTCTTCATTATTTTCGCACTTGATATCTTCATACTGCTGATGGAATGCAGTATACCTGGTGAAGACTCCACATGTATGGACTCTGAGAAAAACGGCGAAGAGGTGAGCTATCATAAAAATAGTGGATTTCATGATTCACTAGCTGACTTGCATGATACAAATACATAGCAATTACGTGAATAATATGGAAAACAATTAGCTTGTATGTGTATAGTAGTGAAATGCAATACTAACCTTTCACGTCCGATTTTGAAGTCTACAGTCAAACTATCAACTATCGTCTTGAAATTGTCACAATGAAGTATCAGGACTAACATGTGCGTAATCAATTTGTCACGAAGCATTGGTGACATTGCGCTAAAGTATTACAAACAAAATCAGAATTCATAAATGACAAACAAAAATGAAGTAAATATCTACAACTAGAGTGAAACACCTGGAGGTTCATTTATTCAGGTATTTGTTGTTTTGACCTTGGTTAGGAACAATCACAGACCAATGTTACAATATTTGAATCAGTTAGCCAAACATTTTTGAGGAAAGTTATCAACTTTATACCATGAACGAGGTTATACTTAATTGCTGCTAGGTCTCCAAAGTAGATAGGCATACATCTGTTGGTATAGTGATTAATAGTGGTGTTAATAATGAATTGGCAGGGGCTTTTTCTACTGTTGGTAGTGAACCCCAGTGAATACATTGGTTTATAGGAATAAAGGGCTGTCTAAAATTCTGGAGAATGTACAGGGGATTCGTCTAGTTTTTAAAAAAAGATACTTCCGTAGGATAAAATGAATTTGATGTATTTGACAGGTTGGTGTACAGGTTCTGCCACTTTTGCAATTTAGCGTTAGAAATCTTTCTATGTTACATGGAAGTGGGGATGAATACTAAAATAGAAGTTTGGAAAACTGTTAATGACCACTGTTTGGGTCTTTGAAGTCGTGAAGGGTGATATTTATTTCCTTTAAACAAATAAACATTAGTACAAGGAGGCGCCAAATACAAATGCGCCACACTTCGCCATTCGATTTGTGTAAGGGTTGGGATAGTGCCCGGTCGCTCAGACCAAAGCAGGGGTTTTTATTAAGAGAACACTCCCCGAGCCGTTGACCTAGAAGTCTAGTCCACAAGTCAGTGGAGCAACAGAAGGAGATTCGGTCCCACGGTAGCCGGTGACCAACAATAGGTTCATACGCCATTTGTTCCTTTAGGATCCTGGAGCCCATGTGCACCATTGGTTTGGAGTTAGGTTTTTCCAACTCCCCTAGGTGGGTCCTCCACAGTAATATTTTTCAATTAAAGGATTTTCAAAGGAATGACAATTATTCACGATATTAATCACAGGAATCAAAGCGTAATATTAGGTTAGAAGGATTCCTTACCAAATGTTTTGCCGAAATGCATTTTTAGACACAAACATATCTTGGAGGATTTCCCACGGACCATAGACAAACTCAAGTTTACATGTCCTTCATTTTATATTTAGTAGTTTAAATACTGTACAAAGAAGATTATTATTATTAAACTGTCACAATCTCATCAAAACCTATGCAGTTTAAAACAGTTAACGAATGTGAATCATTAAAGTAGTGAGGAAAAGTTACATACCGTACTTTTAGACGTCCCATACCATTCCGACTAACTGATGCTGTAAACTGAGTAAGAAGATATTTGTTAACAGTATTTGGTGTATCTGGAAGTGGAACCTTGCGCATCAAGTCTCGGTTAGGCAAGTGAAACAAAGCAAACATGTGACTGAGAAACACCAAACCAGTAACATGTTTTGTATAACCTTCAGACTTAGTTGTACACAAGTTATACAGCTTATTCCTTATCCACTGCGGGTAAATACTCTTATTTATTAGAGTATCAATCGAATTGACATCAGCGGATATAATACTTTGTACCTCCGAATTTAAGGCTTCTGAAATTCTAGGAGGAACTAATTTTTCATAAGGATAAACATCCGCAGGACAAGAAGCTTTCAAGACTATTGGTGGAAGTAGGCGGAGACGTTCATCGGTTTGAGAGTTAGAACAATCCATTTCATTGTCAGCTAAATAAAGTGACAAAAATAGTTTAATGACATATTTGAGTGTAAAACATTAGGGCTAAGTAACAATGAACTTACGAAATCCTTTATATATGTATTTTTACGTGAGGCAAATGTATAGATTTCACCAAAGCAATTTTTATGTTACGTTACCCTTTTTAAGTCGAGAAGGGACTAAACATAGGATGGGTCAAAATAATCGGAACTAACATAATTTAAATGTTGGTAAACTTCAGATATATAAACAAGATAATTACAAGAAGGGAAGGGTTTACTAGGCCAAGATATAATAAGGGTAAATTTAAATGACATGATATTTTATTATTGTCAACACGCAGCATCTTAAGAAAAATGAGTAATCCAAGTTTTGACAGTGAAATACATTTTACTTTTTCAACCAACGGTCTAATTAGTAAGTGAATCGGATCAACCAAAAAATTAACAAAGAGCGTTACATTACCGAATTGGATGACTCATTACGCTATCCAGAAATCATATGAATAGCGTAGTCAAAAGATGGAGAGCAACTGGAACATGCTACTTAATACTGATTGAAACCTGAATTTCTTAACCAGTAAACTATCACTCCAGGCTGAAGATAAAAGAACTGCACATTCAAAACATGTTTGAAATTAAAAGGTAAAATCAACTATTTTCATGGCGTCAATGAAAAACTCATCAGTAATCAATAGGTTTTCGCTCCCTCTACTCACGACGTAAATATATATGTTATAGATCGTAGCTAACGCTTATTGAAAAATCCACGTATAATTAGACGGCTACGAAAATCGGACCGAGAGGTTTTATTCGAGTTAGTTAATCCTACAACAATGACGTAACTTGCTCACTAGGTGCAAAATTTTATACTTAGCTTAATACTTTAAAAACAATAAATGTAAGCCTATTCCCGAATTAAGTTTGAATACTAAATTCAGCACTAATTACTATCAAATAAAAAGTTTCGTAAATATATAACCGGAAATAACGGTAAAAATCTAGTTTGGCAGAAAGTAATACAACAAGTCTTACGATTATTCGAATTGGCTTCGTTATCATGTTTTAATTTGGTTTGACCATGCATAGCTCGATCGATCACTTGAGCATTGGTCACCGAATTCTTTTGAGTTTGATTTCTTTCCATTTCACGTAAAGCACGTTGTTTTTTGACAGAACCGAAAGCATTGATGAGAGTAGCTCTCTGCAAAGCAAAATGACAGGAGCCTAGTTGGGCCGGGGTTTGATTCATATAAAATAAAAACAATTTTAACCGACAATTCGAAATCCGGAGGATATACAAAATCGATTTTGTGTTTTAAACCTGTTAGTTATATTCATAAGCATTTCTTGACATAATGCAGGCAATTTAACTGATAGCTTAAATTAATTCTATACATTTACCGGATATAAGATTTTAGACTACTCCGATTTGCACATAATTCCCCAATATCAATAGACCTTAGAAGAGCAAGAAGAAAATTCAGACTAATTATTGAAAAGAAACAATCAAAGAATGAATTTGAATTCATTGTCAAATACATCTCCTTATGTTCAACTGAAGGTAGCATCTTCCAAGTTAAAACTAGTTATATTACTTGATAATTGAAATATGAACAGAATAAACAATTTTTGACTTACATCAGCTTTCACTGAATTTGGGACTTCAATTACGTCATCTGAAGGCAATATCAGTAAAAACTATGACATACCATCAAAACAAGGCTCAAGGAACTCCGGCTTTTTGTGAATAACTTCAACGCTTTTTGTTCGTTTGTTGTAAATTATAGTAGCATAACTACATAAAGAAAAAAATTTTTTCGTTACTCAAGTAAGCTTAAATCACATGAAGTATAAGAGCGATTATTAGACTTGGGATGCTTTAAGTAGATTCCGAAGATCAACTCTGTCAAACATGACAGTCAGTTCCGTTTGTACTTTTCAATATTCACCATGAAGATTATCATACATCATTAGATAGTAGGATTAATCCCTAACCGATTGACTTGATTAAAATATGGATTAAAGATACTGCACTTCTCACTGTGGAACATTTTGAAACAGCAACATCAAAGCCATAAATACCATCGCAAGGAAAATAAGAAAAGAGCAAGAAATGCTTATATTCTAGAATCGTAATTGGTAGGTAATAATTTAGGGCACACGAACTCTTCCACTTCTATAAATGCGTAATGTCAGCTTACATCTGATCGAACAAAAAATATTAATGTTTGCTAACCTTAACAAATCGCATTAAGTTTGCTAATTTCTGGAGAGCATAGTAAAACAGAAATAAACTAACTGTACACAAAAATATGTGAGGAACTAACGTGTATTATCGAATGGATGATTAGCTATAGATTTATTAATTTTTCCACACAACGGGAAAACTTAGTAAAGCGATACACTGAGGAACGTATCATAAGGAAGGAACATCATGTTTTTAAACTAGGTTCCTAATAAGGAACGTCACTGGAAATAGTAATCTTTAATCTTAAATTAATTGTGTGCATGGATTTCAAATTTCTGAAAGGATAAACGATGCATAAATCTACAAAAGTCGCCTGCTACCATAATAATAAATCTGACCTTGTCCCGATGCTCTCCAAACAAGATTTTTACACTAAAAGATAACGGGCAGCCTACAAACAAAGCCATTTAGACCACTCTGGGAGAAGTATTGAAATGTTCAAACAAATCAGCAATTTAAACAAAACGTACGAACAAGCTCCAGGCTATTAAAGCATAATAATTTAGCAGTATGAACATTGACCAAAAATCACAATAACTACTATTAGCTTAAAATTATTACAAACCCAAGATGATTTAAATTTAAAATAGTCACCACATATAATGAAAAAAACCCTTACTTAGAATCCCTCAAAGGAGACTTTAACTTGCTACTGTAAAGTACATTACCGATTTGACAGCTCTAGGAATACAAATAAAGTTATTATTAATTGAATAAGTACCACAATGGACTTTTCGACATCCTGGGGGCATACATCGACATGTGCTGGTAAAACATCTGTAACCGTCATATCGCTTGTTCCTAGTGAAAAAGGTGCTTTGAAATGTTAGAAAAAACACTATACTCTTACCTGGGAAAAAATTCATTTGTTCCATTTATAGTACTTTATAATGTTCGGCAGACAATGCAACCTGATAAAAGTGTCAGATGGGTCGAAATATAGTTTGTCCCACGGACAAAAATAGAACTATATTCCCTTCAATACAGTATGTGGTATTTGGTAGCAAATTTTATAGTAATAAGTGCTGTCTTAATTCCATTTACACCAATATCCTAAAAGCAATAACAGAGATGTATTTGAATATCCCGCTGATTTTTAACAAGTCTTATCAAAAACCTAAGGTGATAAAGTAATTGTAGAATTGGGAAGAGCATTTTTTAAAGCTAAAATTTAGAAACAAAGTGAGCCACCTGAACCGTACAAGTCAAGCTTAGCTGTAGCTCATAAAATACAAAAATCAGATCTCATATATGACGAACAAGTTGTCTTTTATGAGACCGCGTGGTTGCTCAACCTTTGTAGTCACCTTATATACTGTGGCTCATACACATAGTTGTTTATTTGGAATCCATTCTAGATCCAAAACTTATTAACAAGAAATATTTCTTGTAAATAAGTTTTGGATCTAGAAACATATGTTTCTCAGTAGCGAAACATCAATATCTCGAGCGTTGTACGCTACAGACTGAGTATTCGAAAAGTCCGGAAACAAAGTTTGACTAAAATTATGTGGGAACCTAGGAAGTATCATCACCCATTCCAAAAAAATGGGAGGACTAGTAAGAAGACATGAATTAAGCTAGTAGTTTTGATTATATTAAAACCCCAGTTAATTAAATTTTTCAAACAGTGTTAAAAGTTTTTGAAGTAAAATATACATGAGCGGAAGCGAAAGAACACTAGATATACGAGAAACTATTACATAAAGTACGAAGTATCTAACCACGAGTTTTATTACAGTAACGCAGTGGCCAAATAAGGCGCCCGTAGGTGTGTATTAGTTCAAATGGTTGTGGACGTAATAGAAGAAGCTTTCGCTTAACAGGCTTCCGTGTCTAGTAGCAGGGGATCACCAAATCCTCAAGGCAGGAACCTAGGTATGTTAACAATAAAAGAGGAAAAGAAATTGGTAAATCATAGTATGATACTGTCTTTGGTCCTTAAGAATAGGTCAAGTTGCCTCTTGAAGGACTCCTGAGAAGTCGCTTGGACCAGCTCGGCCGGCAGCGAATTCCAGCTTTTGACAACTCTTAAGGAGTAGAAGTTGTGTCTACATCCCGTCTTGCTATGTTGAGTTTCCAGTTTCTGGGTGTTACCCCTTAGGTTAGTATTCGAACTAAGCTTAAGTAGGTGTTTAAGAGGATGTCCAGAAGTGTTAAGAATACTATAAGCCATTAATAAATCACCTCTAAGACGCCTATACTTTAATGGGTAAAGGTCTAGTGAATGGAGGCGTTCTTCGTAAGGCTTAGATTTGAGTCCGCGAACTGATTTCGTGGCTCGCTGTTGGATACGCTCCAAAGTGACCTTGTTCTTTTGGAGTGAGGGGGGAGTACTATATTTCCGTACTCTAAATGGGGACGGACAAAACTATTGAAGATTGTATGGAAAGTTCTTCCGTCAAACTGGCCAAAAATGCGCTTCAATGTTACCAGTGCAAGGTTTGCTCGGAAGGCATTTTTGTCACAATTAGCGTAAGACTTTAAATCATGGGGCACCAGGACTCCTAAATCTTTTTCGACTTGGGATACTACTAAAGAGGAGTTTCTTAAGTTATAACTGTAGTCTGCGACATGTCGCAGATGGACTACTTTACACTTTGAAGTGTTAAATGTAAGTCCGTTATCATCTGCCCAACTTTGAAGTCGAGTCAGATCCTCCTGAAGTGCCTGTGCATCGTCTTGGTTGCGTATCTCTCTCCAAAGTTTCACGTCATCGGCAAAAAGTAGTAAGTCTGACGTTACCTGTTGAGGAAGATCGTTTATGTAGATCAAGAAGAGGAGAGGCCCTAATACTGAGCCCTGGGGAACCCCACTAGGACATTCCATAGCCTGAGATAAAGTGAAATTAACCCTAACCTTAAAGTGTCGATTTTCTAGGTATGAAGTAAGCCAATCGATTAGAGGTGGTTTGATACCTAGTCGTTTGAGCTTATTGATAAGACACAAGTGGTTAACTTTATCAAAAGCTTTTGAGAAATCAAGGTATATGATATAAACCTTTCCCTTGCGATCGAGGATGCTTGTCCATCTGTCCACCGCAGTCAGCAGGTTGGTTATACAAGAGTAACCCTTCCTGAAACCATGCTGTTGGGGTGAGAAGAAGTTTAAGGACAGTAGATAATCGTTTAAACCATCGCATATCAGGGACTCCATGAGTTTTGAAGGTAATGACAGAAGAGCCACCGGCCGATAACTTGAAGGTTCATTGCGTCGACCCCCTTTGAAAATTGGTGTGATGTGAGCCAACTTCCAATTTTCCGGTAGTTTACCTTGGCTTAGCGAGTGTGAAAACATCACGCTAAGCGGCGTTGCCAGGATTGAGGCTGCCTCCTTCAGTATGGCAGAATGAACCATATCCGAGCCAGGAGAAGTATCTAGTCTTAAGTGCTGCAGTTTCCGGAACACCAAGTCAGCGCTTAGGTCCACTTCGGAAAGCCCTGTGGAATCACAGGTGAAACTGTCGTCAATAGAGTTGATGTCAGCCGGCTAAAATGTTTGAGAGTAATGTGCCGCCAGAAGGTTAGCGGCGTGACCATCGTTGTTGGTTGGGCCGTTAAGACCTAGCAGTTGAGAAACTCCTGTTTTGGCTTGACGAAGAGAGGCTGCATAACGGAATACGCTTCTAGGGTTCGAGGCAAATTTGTCCATAAGCTTTGTCTGATAATGAAGCCTGTCTTCTCTTATAGCCTTCGTGCATATGTTCCTGATATGTTTGAATTGCCTATACGCTCCGTCGTTGTCAGTTCGTTTGTATTCCGCCCAACAGTGCCTTTTACGGCTTAGCAGGCTTATAGCCACTACTTGCCTTATTACGTAATGACCAAAATTAGTGTACTGAGGGCACAACACCGAAGGCATGTGTTAGCTCTTTTCCAGTAATTTCTTGTTTCTTACCTTCTGTTTAATTATTGCTCACACTGGTTTCATTTTAATGTTTTGATCGTTAAATACGCATCAAGACGGCTATTTTCACTTTAGTTGAATTTGTTTCAGTTGAAGTAACTTTCAAGAATATTGTTTTTTTCTAAAGCAATTCTCCTCTTTCTAGTACATTGGCTCTTTTTGAAGTTGTTTGCACTTTCGGATCCAACGGTTTACAATTTTTCACTTTTTTTTCTGGTCATCACTTATTTTGTTTTTGGGCATTGTCTATGTCTAGTTTCTCCTTAACACGTCTGGCTGATGACAGAAAAGTGAAAAAAAGTAGTTTCCAACGCCAGGGCCGTTGGTACCCTGTGACTATAGAATGTAGTGAGACGAGTACAAAGGATAGTATTACGAAGTTTGCACGAATTTGAAGCCTGTAGCTTAAAAACGGTTTAGTGAATGTATTTACTAGTGGTTGTCAGTAATGCTGCCCGGAGACGAACAGCTTGCTGCTAAGAGGAATACTCGAGACATATAAATGATACTCAATTGGTCGATGCATAATTTTATGTGAAATTAGTTCAAATAAGCTCAGAGTCCATTGACTTGAATGAGCCAAAGGGGAAAGAGCCGTCTTAAAAGTGGTCTTTAAGAAAAAAGTTCGAAAAAGGAAGTTTCTTCTGTTTTCCGCCTTCCAAAAGGCAGTGGGCAGAAAACGCCCAGAAAACATATTCCAATGCTCGGTCTGTTCCTAGCAAAAAAACAACTCAACAACCCCAGTAGAACCATATTCCCCAATTTAAACGACTTGGGATGTATTCATAAATTTATACATAAAAGCCATTGCCACACACATCACTTGGACCACACCAAGTGGTTTGAGAAACCCCCTACAGCAGTTCAGTAAGGAGGTTCACACACTCTTTCGTAACGAGCGAAGAATGTGGGAGAGACTTGGGTTAATGGGTACTGACGAGAGAAAATCTCAACAATAGAAAGCTCGAACTATCTGTGCCTTGACCTTCAGCAAGTCTAGAAGGTTGTACGAAGGAAAACTCGTTAAGGAGTCTGCAGAATACATTAAACGCTTATACTCGTGCATAAACAAAAGGACTGAGGGAAGAGGAAATATTACAGCTTAATGGGGAGACAGAAGTACTGTTTTGTTAGTGGAGAATGGTTATGGTGAGGCTAAGGTATTTTCAAATTACTTCAGCAATATATGCACCATGCAGATGCCCTCCTCCTCAGTTTGTACAGACCCCACACACAGGACATCGTGATCACTAAAGAACTTGATGTCTTTGGTTTGCTAAATGAGCTTAATATAGGAAAACCCGTGGGACCAGATGAAATACATACTATGTTACCAGAGGAATTAGCACATTTTGTCTCATATCTCTCAAGCATATGTTTTAGTCTATCTGTAACACATGATTGATTACCAAAATACTGAAATAGTGATATTGTAAGTCCTATCTTCTAAACATGTACGAGACATAAGCCTGAGAACCATATACCCATAACCAGAATGGTTGTTATAATTTAGGAGAAAAATATTTGAAAGTGGTTGTTTAGGTATCTTGACGAAAACCAAATTCTTTATGAACAGGTTGTTCATGTCCCATTAACTTATTAGTAGCCCGTGAAGTTCGATACGCTCTTAAAGATCAAAAGTTACCTATAAATGTAGCGTACATTGACTTTAACAGGGCTTTTGACAAAGTTCTTCACAAACGGCTGTCATGAGTTACATAGTATCAGGATTGGAGGTAATTCATTAATGTGGATAGAGGACTTCCTAGTTAGGCATCAACAAAAGTACGGGTGAACTCAAAGTTGTCTGGCCGGGAAACTGTGTTCAGCGGTGTGCCTCAAGGTGTGGTTTCAGACTATTATTGCTTTTCCTGTATGTAAGTGACCTTATAATACGTTGACGATGTTAAGACATGGATAGCAGTGAAAAGTAAAAGTGATAGTTTAGAGCTTCAAAATGACTCGGAGAAATTATCTGGATGGTCTTAAATTTGACGGTGGCCGATAAATGCTTTCAAGTGCAGTTTGATGCACTGAAGTCACCAAGGCATAGATACATACACGACAAATAAAATTATTATAATTGTTGTACAGATGTACAATGACTTAGAAGTAATCAGTAGCCAAAACTTGAAATTTGGGTCAATTCAGAGACCATTATTGCCAAGATTAACAAAGAGGACTCAGCCTCCTGTCCTTTCCAGACTCAGACGGTCGATCAAATATATAAATACAACTACAGGCAACAGAATCCAGGAGTTGATGACTCAGCATGAAAACCCTTATTCCGTAGGTAATGTGTCCGTTCTCAGTCTTTGAACATGTCTGCTATATCGTATGAACTATCCTGACCTAGAAGAAGGAAATGTAGGATACATCGATTCAAAAATCATTTTTAATGTTCTACACTCCAAAATTAGATCACCTCTTATTCTACTGTTGGACAGAGTAAAGAGGTCTAGCTTTTCAAGTTGCTCTGTTTGTGGTGAATTTCCGAATTCTGGAACCCTATATTCAGCTGTATTTTGCACTTTTTGCATGATATCCGAGTCATGTGTTAATCAGGAGGTTATAGCGTGAACGCGGTTTCCAAGTCTGGATCTCACTAACGTTGTGTACACTGCGGTGAACATGCTTATATACAACTTGGTAAATGACCATCCTAAAGCCCACACAACTCTGAAAACCTTTGCTGAAAACGTACGATGGTGAACCACGGTCCCAAAATAGTGGCTTCATGTCACCCCTATATCACTGTGATACATGACTGCAAGCATCAATGTTTTTCCAATGATGTAGCTGCGTGTTTTTGCACCCCTGATTTACATGTAAACCTACTTGGTTGCGTTGACAAGGATCAATCACCTTTCAG